AAAGATTTGCTAGGCGAAAGAAGATCAAGGTCCATCGAGTTTGCCTTCTATCATCCTGGCAGTCGCTTAACATGTGTCCCAAATTATATACTGTATCCTGAGAGATTATTTTCTAGCAAACATCTATCTAATTTGTTCTTGAAACAAATGACATTTTCTGCTTCCGCCATCTCCCTAGGAAGCCTGTTCCATAAGTTTACTATTTCCTCACTAATTGAATTTGACCCATGGAAACCTTTATTTAGCACATTCACTCTCCCGCTATGATGTGCCCATTTTAATTTGTACACTGTATCCTGATATTTTTCACATTTTACCTTGTTTCCCACATTATTACTAACACCTCTCTGTCAGCATTGCTTTTTGCACACATCTCTTAGACGTTCAGGTTTCCCCAATATGCATGTATGCCTTGAGGCAATATTAGTAGCAATATTAAAGCATTAATTGGAGCTTTTTTCTTCAATTTGTGCCAGAATACTCAATGTCCTGTATCTGCTGATGCTCTTTGTCACACGTTAGCAGTCTTGCCCTCACCACATACTGAGGGCTGTATTTCCTTATGAAACTGTGCCAGTATCATTCCATCAAGATACCAACTAGGACTTGCAAGATCTCTTCTAAAAAATGACTTTTGCATTCTTGTCAACATGACATTTGTGTGTTTAATTCCCCTGACACTTCACAGCTGTAATCTCAGACTATTCAAATGTTATTGAGGTTGAAATGCTCCCTACTTCTGATGTGGGAAAATGCTCTTTATTCCAGTTCATCAGGATTGGTTTCTACATTTTGGTTAATACTGGATTTGATAAAATTTTCACAAAACATAACCTTTTTTTCTGAAATGAGGAACATGGACTCCTACATCATTATCAGTGACTTCCAGTAGCATTTTGGTTTAACAGCCACATTAGATTAGAGTCACAATCAAAAGGGAATTTGATAATCACTGCTTGTAAAAAAAACAGAAATGGATATGGTGAAAGAGTTGGACAGTGGGATTAATAAGAAAGAGCAAATTAGAAAAAATAGCTATTAGTGTCCCAGAAACAATGGGCCAAATTACCTCCTTCTGTGTTGAAATTTCTGTTTTTATGTAATTGCCACACTACCACTGAGTTAACAACAGGATTGCTGACTGTATTTTGTAGTTTAACAGAAACAAGTGGTATTGCTTCATTAGTTTAGAAGCAGGACTCACTGCAGTCTGGTATTGAAGCAGTTTGTATTATTTTGGACTTGGAATTGTTTCTTCAGTGTCACTAATGCTGGACTTTTTCTCAAGTTAAGTAAGTGTTAGATAATTCTTTCCCTTTCTGACTACTTTGAAATAACTTAGAAACCCAGAACTCTACCTTTCAGAAGACAAAAATGGAGATCACACAAAATATATACATGAACAGTGCCCTTTTTACCTATTTGATCACATGCTTCCAGAATAATTCTCCCCCTACCCCTTTACTATCCCCCATTACAACATCAAGCCTTGTTTAAATTGAGTTTGGCTGTAATCTGTTCTAATTATTACTGACTCTTGTCAATGGACCTTTTTGTTTTGACCCTTTTTCCTCTGTCTGTCCTAAAATTGCCCTTGAAAACCCTCTACCCCTCTCGGCATGCCTTGTTAGTGTATCTGAATGTATTGCTTCAGCTTTATTTTCTTCATCCCATTTCCGCTGAATTGAAGGTCCTCTTAATTGAATGAATGGTATAGCCAATAATTCAGTACCAGTAGCTAAATCACTTATTTCTGCTTGGTAAGCCAGAATTTTAAGGAAATGCCCTTTCTACTTCTGAGGCCTTCCATAGCTATGAATTATGAACCACTCTGAACAACATTCATTTAGTCTGTGTAGGATACCAGCCAGAATATAGAGTTTGCGTTCTCACTGATCTTCGTTGGGATTGAAATCATTGAAAATCAGGCATCAGCTTGCTCTGTAGATTCTTGTTTCTGAGTCAGAAGATTATGGGTTTGAGTCCTACATGAGGACTGTGAGTTTATAGTCTGGGGACTTATTGCATTGTCCCAGGTGCCGTCCTTTGTGTGAAACAAACTAATCTCCCTGTTTTTTTAACCCGTTTAGATAGACGTTAGAAGATCCCTCAGTGCTATTTGCTAAGAGAAGGGAGTTTCTCTCTGCCGGCGTCCTGGCCGGGAATCTCCCAAATAAAGTTGGTCATTCAGCCCAGTGTTGTTCTTGTGGGACGTAACTGGCCAAAATTGGCTGACGCATTTGTACAGTTTATGGTAAAGATCCTGTGAAACATTTTGCGATATTCTATAATAAAAATGTGGTCGCTCGGTCTATGACTCTTTGTCGGATGCTACTGTATGCAATTGGTTGCCAGGTTTTGTCCACAAAATTCAGTTTACAGTATGTTCTGTGAAGCTCTTTGAGATGTCAAAATGACCTGATAAGGTGCTATATCGAATGCAAGGATTATTATTATTAAAGGCCAGGCAGATAATCCAGTGAAATGCTGGGAGGAATACTACATTGTAAGAGATGTCATCCTTTGCATGAGATGTTAAACTGAGGTCCTGTTTGGCTAGACAATAAAGATCACAAGGCCCTATTTGAAAATAGAAGGGTGCTGGTCCTGGCCTCCAGTTAAAATGTGTCACAAGGGTGAGTAGGACATTATTGTTTGCACATTAGCTGCTGCAATTGCTATAGCATCTCAGTCACAAAATTTTGCACAAAAAACTCTGAAAGTGTGATGAGACATTTCAAAGTGATAGGGTGCTATTATCAAATGGAAGCATTATCAAAATGCATATTATGTTAAGTTTTATAAAGTGTAACTGAAATCGATCTGACCACGTAACTATCAAAGTAAAACTCATTGTTATCTCTTTACAATCTGATTACAATTTTATTAAACGCATTTTTCATAAAACTATCCTGCATGTATTTACATGGAAGCAGATGGGACAAAATAACCCATTGAAAGGATGCATACATTAAGATGGAGTCATGGTCATTAAATAGATTGACTATCAAATAACAATTAAAGTGATTTAAAAATGGTAAAGCAACTTCCGTTTAGAAATACCATAATGTGATTAATGTATCTGAATGTATCATTCTGAGTGTATTTCTTCATCCCATTTCCTCTGAATTGAAGGACAACTTGACTGTCGGTATAACTGGACCCATAGTTAAATCACATATTTCTGCTTGGAAAGCCCGGATCATAAGGAAATCACTTCCCTTAGGGCAATTTCTTTCACAGCATATGAATTATGCAATTTACTTTTTTACTTTGAATGACATCTGTTTAATATGTATAGGGTACCACAAAACAACAACTACAAGATTGCATCAATAGAGCGCCTTTCACGTCGGGAGGACGTCCCAAGGAGCTGGACAGTTGGGTCAGGACCCGAGCAGGGGGGAAATGGTCAGGGTGAGGGGAGGGAAGGGAGAGAGCGAGGAGGGGTTAGAGAGTCGAGAGGGGAGCTGAAGCACGGTTGAAGAGAAAGGTCTTGAGACCGGCCTTGAAGGAGGAAAGGGAGGAGGCGGCGAAGGCACTGGGGGATAGAGTTCCAGAGCCTAGGGGCTGAGAGGCTGAAGGCCCAGCCACCGATGGTAGGGCGGTTAGGGCAGGGGATGTGGAGCAGACCGGAGCCAGAGGAATGGAGGGTACGAGCAGGTAAATAGGGGGATAGTAGGTCAGAGAGGTAGGAGGGTGCAAGGCCGTGAATGGCCTTGTAGGTGAGGATGAGGATCTTGAATTCGATCCTCTGGGGGATGGGGAGCCAGTGGAGGCGAGCGAGGGTGGGAGTGATGTGGTCGTGAAGCCTGGTGCGGGACAGTACACGAGCTACAGAGTTCTGAATGACCTGCAGCTTGTGGAGGGAGGTGCCGGGAAGGTTGACGAGGAGAGAGTTTCCATAGTCCATCCTTGAGGTGATAAAGGCGTGGACCAGAGTTTCAGCAGCGTGAGGGGTGAGGTAGTGCCGTAGTCTGGCAATGTTCCGGAGGTGGTGGAAGGCGATGCCAGTTTTGGCGCGGTTGTGGGGAAGAAAGGACAGCTCAGGGTCGAACAAAACACTGAGGTTCCTGACTGGCTTTGAGAGGTGGAGAGTGCAGCCTGGGATGCTGATGCTGTCAGGATACAGAAGTTGTCAGCTATACATCTGACCTGACTTCTATAATTCTTTGAAACTGTTTGTACCCCACATCCGTGCCATGACCTGCTCTGCCTTCCCCCAGCTCCGCAACATCACCCGGCTCCACCACTGTCTCACACCGCAGGCCACCGAAACCGTCATACATGCATTCATTACATTCAAGCTTGACAATAAAAAAACTCCTTGTTTGGTGGCTTCCCCAACTCCTGCCTCCATAGGCTGTGGATCATCCAGAACTCTGCAGCCCATGTCCTCTATCGCATCAGGCTCTGTGACCCTATCACCCCCATCCTCGTCCGACTTCACTGGCTTCTCATCACACAGAGGATACAGTTCAAAACCCTGGTCCTTGCCTTCAAAGTCCTCCATGGCCTCGATATTTCCCCCCCCACCCCACCTCTGTGACCTCCTAATCCCCTACCAACCTGCCCGCTCCTTCTGGCCTGCTTCACGTCGCCTGCCTCGCCCGCCCCACCATTGGCAGGTGGGCTTTCTACCACTCTGTCCCCACCCTCTGGAACTCCATTCCACAGTCCCTCCACCTCATCCCCTCCCTTGCTTCCTTCAAGACCCATCTCAAGACCCTCCTCTTCGACCGTGCTTTTGATCATTCTCCTCCCCCCCCATGGCCTCCACCCTCCCCAATCCCAACCCTCAGCTCGGGTCCAAAACACTGACTGTCCAGCACCTTGGGATGTCCTTCCGACATGAAAGGCACTTAAATGTAATTTTGTTGTTTTTAAATAAATTCTGTTATATGAATATATGACTTGATCAGACTACCTATTACCTCAGTAAGAAATGTTTTCTCTCTTGTTGGCAGTGTTTTATTGACCATTGGTTAATCTTTTTATAGACTTCCTCAAAACGCAGAGGGAGTAAAGATCTGCAAAAGTCTGAGAAGAAAACCCAACAGGCAATTCAAGAGGTAAAGTGATTGTGTTTAGACATATAGCATTAGTGAAGCTGCTATCAAGAGTAAAGATTCTGCTGTAAAGCAGACCTACATTTAATCAAAAAAAGTTTGTAAATCTAAACTATTTTCTACTGTACAGGTTTGACCCTTACATTATCATTGTGTATTCCTGTAGCTCAGTGGTTAAAGCAGTCGCCTTGCAAGTGAGAGACCTGGATTCAATTCCCGGCAAGACAAAACCTTGGGAAGTTTCCTTACTCCACACATCTGATAATAAACCCTCAAGAAAAATAAATTGGTCACTTCAATCCACGACTGTTTGTGGGATGCTGCTGTGTGTAATTGGCTGCCGCATTTTGCCCACAAATATACAGTCAATTCATTTTACAGTATATTTGTAAGAAGCGCTTTGAGACGTCTAGAAGACGTGAAAAGCACTATATCAAATGCAGGGATTATTATATTAGTATTAAATTCATAAAGACCAGTTCTATAAAAAGCAACAGAAGATTCATAGGGTCAGAGTCAATGTAAATACAACAAGAGTGCAACTCCATTATAACAAAGTGTGTTAGAACTGGGGGATGCTCATAAGGCAGGTGCCCTGTGGACCCATCGCCAACTTCCCACGTATTAAAATATGGCTGACTTCTGGATGATTGGGTTGCTGTTAACATCAATTCCTGCATGCTGTGCTTGTGCAGGAAGTGACAATATACAGCCTAGTTGGTTTGGTTATGTATTGTGAGACCGGCACTTGTATCATGCAGGAAGTAATGTCACTGACGACCTGATGACCCAGAAGTCAGCGATATTGTTTTTATATGGGAGGCCAAGCATTTTTCTGCACACATGTGCTGTCGCATCGTCATGATGTGGAAAGACTGATTGTTGTAAGGTGGGATGGCATTAAAAACAGGCCCTACTGTATAGTATGTGAATGAGAAGGTGGGGCAGTTAATGTGTGTACACATTTGTGGCTTCTGCAGAGAGATTACATCTCAGAATGTATATATATATCAGTAGCCCCTACAAAGAAAATCACATTCTAAGGTATACACCTGTTGATGACTTTCTAAGGGTTAATATTCTCAGAGGAAGGTTGATAAGGGATGAACATGTGAAAAATATACACTGGTAAATCAATGGTTTTGCACCACTTAGTTGATTTGCAATTCTAACAATGTTATCTTTGCCAAATATTATGAGTTGTAATTAACCATTTTCTTTCTTAAGGTAGAAATGTTTTTTGTTTATTCTTAACTAGGAGGACAACGACGATCTAAAATGTCAACTCCAGTTTGTCAAAGAAGAAGCGACCTTAATGCGGAAGAAAATGGCAAAAATTGATAAAGAAAAGGACAGACTTGAGCGGGAGCTGCAAAAGTACAGGTCCTTTTATGGTGATCTGGATAGTCCTTTGCCCAAAGGTGAAGCTGGAGGACCTCCTACTACCAGGGAAGCTGAACTCAAACTTCGCCTCCGTTTGGTGGAAGAAGAAGCCAATATACTGGGAAGAAAGATAGTTGAGCTGGAGGTTGAAAATAGAGGCTTAAAGGCTGAGTTGGATGATATAAGGGGTCACTATGAAAAAGAAGGGGGAAGCGGTGAAGATTATGTTGGTCCCGGTGGCGCCACTTTCCGGGATCAAAGTGAAGCTGTTTCAGAGCTAAGACAGAACTTGCAGTTAGTTGAGGACGAAGCTGAGTTGTTGAGACGAAGCCTGGCTGATTTGGAGGATCAGAACAAGCGGCTCTCGACTGAAGTCAATAAATACAAGTATAAAACAGGGGGTGCCCAGGACGCATCTAGGAATAACGATAATTCCAAAGTTACAGACCTCCTCCAGGAGGAACTCAAAGCTGCCAGAATGCAGATCAATGAACTAAGCGGCAAAGTCATGCAGTTGCAATATGAAAACCGAGTGCTGATGTCCAACATGCAGCGCTACGATCTGGCATCCCACTTGGGCATTCGCAGTAGCCCCAGAGACAGTGACGCAGAAAGCGATGGAGGGAAAAAAGAAAGCGATGACGATTCTCGCCCCCCTCATAGAAAAAGAGAAGGGCCTATCGGTGGAGAAAGCGACTCCGAGGAAGTTCGCAACATCAGATGCTTGCAATCTCCACCACGGTCTTTGTTCTCTACTGATGGAAGATTGCTTCAAAAAAACCTCAAAGACAGGCAGCAGATGTCCGACATAAGACTGGAGGCAGAACGACTGAGCAGAACTATAGATCGGCTGATCAGTGACACAAGTACCATCATAACCGAAGCAAGAATTTACGTAGCAAATGGTGATCTTTTTGGGAGAATGGAAGAAGAGGATGAAAGCGGCAGGATCAGAGAACATGAGCTTCTCTACAGAATCAATGCTCAGATGAAAGCGTTCAGGAAGGAACTACAAACGTTCATAGACAGACTAGAAGTTCCGAAAACATCTGACGAAAAAAATCAAGAGGAACCTTTGTCCATCAGTCAGGTAAATGAATATTGAATATGCAATAGAGGTAAATATTAATATATTCAATGTATTAATAAAATTGCTAGGATTTGAATTGCTCAAATATGTTATTGGTCAACATTACATAGTAACTATCAATAAATTTAACAAGAAAATGTACATAGCTCAATTTTAGAAGCATTAAAAACAAATTCCTTGATTAATGGTATAATTAGTGACCTAAAAGCACTATATTGTTCAGATAGGACACTATAGAATACTGCAATGATTCTTGTTAAATCTGTAATTATAGCTCTCAGATGATGGCAGTTCAAATAAGCTAAGGCATACATAAAGTTTAGCAGCAGTTGTATTTATGTAAATTGCAATAATTTGAATATTTGATTTAGAACATTGAATTAATGACATAATATTGTGGTATATACATTGTGTATTGTAGGAATTCAAATTTGTAATTGTTGACTTATGTGTGTTCTTCTTTAATAATAATTCTTGCTTTTTGTATTTACCTGTCCAGATGTTTCAACCTATTATTTTACTTATTCTCATCCTTGTATTATTTTCATCGTTGTCTTACGCTACCATATTTAAATTAGTTTTTCTTTTCACACTTTTCTTTGTTCTGTAGAATCCCCATCTTCTTCAGTGTACTACCTTTTTAGTTTATTTTGTTTATTTTAATACCCCATCAAGAAAACAACCAATACAAAATAATACACACCAGGATCATGAATCACCATTTGCAAGGCTTTGTAAAATACTGGAGACTAACAATTTTTCAACATGGATTATTACATGCAACCATTTGGTAAGTGGTTTTATAAAGTGATCCTCTCTATGACTCTGTGATATTGGAATATGAACTTTTGAAACATCTTTGCTCTACTCTTCACTTCATGTATGTTACTTATAAATGGATAAAAAAAACTACTTGTCATGCTCTGCAGAAATAACAGTGAGAACAAGAATCTTATTTCCATCAGTTTGACACGACAGCATGTCTCATCACACAAATTACTTTCTTGGGTTATGGAAATGATAGAAATATTCATATTTTAATTCTAAACATGCTAGAAATATTATTAATGGAATACACCATAGCCAACCATGTGATGCTGTAAATATCTTCACCTGTAAAATAGGTACGAGAGTCACTTGTTGTTTCCTGTCTACTTCCAGTTGTACTTTATATCTGTGTAATTCAGACAATTTAAAGCGGAGTTGGAAATAAAGTGGTTTGGCTTATGTAAATTACCTAATCAGCCTCACTTGTTGCAGACAGTTAATATATCACAAGACTGACTGGCCCACTGTTTCAGTATGTAGTTACTCACATACACTACTGACTATGAAATATGCTAATTCTAGCTGTATGAATAAATTTCTGATCATGTCAAGAAAGCATGTCACCCTCCTTAATTGTGTGCACATATAGTGGGATTTTCCTGTCATAATTTACAGTTATAATTATAATTTACACTCTAATTTACAGACAATGGTAGAGTCACTGGTTGTTTCCTCCACAAGTAGTTGTATTTTATATCTGTGTAATTCAGACACTTAAAAGTATTGTTGGCAATAAAGTGGTTTGCCTTCTGCGACAGAGATATTGGGGCTTAAATTCCACTAACCTCTAACAATAGCAATAGTGAAAATGAACATTATTTTGTGTGATCAGATTAGGTTAGACTTTAGTTGGATGGAGATCAAAGGTCCAGAATAAAGGAAAGAAAATAATTATTATTAGTTGTAGTTACCAACTTCCTGCTTAGAGGAGAGGGCAGACAGAAAATACATTATTTCTACATGTAATAGCTGGAATCTCAGTCCAAGGTATATAAATCATCATCATGATACGCAAGATTGTTATTACCAAAGCTTATTCCAGACCAACAAATAGTTTGGACTACAACAAATAGTGTTTAACTTACACCTCAGAGTACAAGGTGCCATATAGCTTAATGGTACTAAGAATAGAACAAATACCCCCAACTGAATGCCATCTGTTAATTATATCCGAAGACACGTCTTGTTGGCTTGCATGTCAATAATTTTATTTAATGACTTACTTGGCAGATTTTAAAGCATTATATTCCCATTATACGTACACATTGTTAAACGTGCTGCTTAGCAACAGGAGGAATGTCTTTTCTATTTGAGTTTTGTATCCTATGCTGGGTTTTGCTCTTCTGCATTTGCTACCATGTACAGCAAATATACACAAACAATCCCTTGAAACAGGTCCTAACTGTAAGTACTGCCTTTTGCGCTTGGTCTTGAGCCAAGGAGAAATATGTAGCATGGCATATTGCTTCAAGACTTTGTAGAAAATTAAACCTTTTGTATAAGTACAGAGGAAATCATCCACTTAGCCATATTGTCATTCCTTCTGTGTACTAAATTCCCCAAATGGATGCAAAGCCAGTTCTATATAAACCATATTGATCATACATAAATACCAAGACTGGTCTTGGAGTGGGGGGTGGAGGGGAATAACATTTATTAATAATAATCCTTACATTTGGCATCGGACCTTTCACATTGGAAGGATATCCCGAAACGCTTCACAGGATATAAAGTAAATTGTAGTGATTGTGTATTTTGTGGGTGAATTTAACAACCAATTTCCACACAACAGTGTCCCACAAACAGACATGAAGTGATTGACCAGTTTTATTTTGGGGGATTGTTGGCCCTTCTCTTTTCGAATAGTGCCATGGAATCTCTAACATCCACCTGAACAGGCAGACAGGACCTCGGTTTAACGTCTCGTCCGAAAGACAGATTTGTCATTTGACATTTGTCCGACATGTGCATTTTACAATCTGAATTGTATGCAAAACTGCTTTTTCATGTTAGAAACAAGACATTTTTAAATGTTATAATATTCTTGGTATGCTTCATGTATACATTGTAATATTATAGACACAAGCAGAATAATTGGTATGCAGCATGTTTTTGTGTCTAGAACTGTGGTCACCAGAAGGAAACCACTGTAAAAAATGCTTCGTGTTTTATCATTTTTATTCAAATACTCCCACGTATAAAATGAACATAGATGCAAATAAAAACATTTTAAAATACCAACTGACATCTTCTTTGGTAAATACAGTCAAAAATATAAACATAGAATGTTAGTGTTGTATTGTGTGAAGCGCTTTGAGATGTCTCAACAACATAAGGCGCTATATCAAATGCAAGGATTGTTATTATCATCACAGAACAGATCAATTCCAAGATCCTCTCTTTCGCCTACAAATCCCTTCATGTCCTGGGACCTCCATACCTCTACAACCTGCCTACTCCCTTCTCTACCAGCCGCCACCTCCAATCAGCTGGCTGACTCCAGCTCCTACTTGTCCCTCGTCCCCTCCACCATTGGAGGCTGTACTTCCAACCTCTACACCCCGTTACTTTGGAACTTTCTCCCTCAGTCCCTCAACTTGCCCCCTCCTTCCCCATTTTCAGAATCACGCCTGAAGACCTTCCTCTTTGAATGTGCTTACAGTCACCTTCCCCTCGGCTTGGCGTCAGGCACTGCCATCATAATCGCTCTGACACTACCCTGGGTGAAGGACGCCATATAAATGCAAGTTGCCAACCTGTACCTAAACTCTCCAGGATTAGGGAAAAGCATGCATCTCTATGGCGATACACTTTCAGCAGTTTGGTTTGAACACATAAGCCTAGTGATGGGTGTGCTATCAACAAAGTGCAAAATCAACGCAATGCTCAGGAGATTAGGTACAGCTTCAGCTACCTTCACCCACGAATTAAAAGAAAACATATTTGCTAGCTCCCAGTTCTAATATTCAGTTACCAGCCTGCTATCATTGATCTGCCACCACCTCTCTGCAAACACCCAATGCTCATGATCTCTTACCTATTATACAATTTACATTTATATAGTACCTTTTAAAACAACAACTTGGATTTATATAGCGCCCTCCACTCCGGACGGTGTCTCAGCAGGAGGATATCTCAAAGCAGTTGACACTGGGAAGAGGAAAAATTACCAATAGCACAGTAAAACAAATCAACATCTTGCCTCATCTGCCTTATGACCTGACTGAGGCAAGCTTAAATAATAAGTGACCAGTTCAGTAAACATTCTCAAAAACTGAGCAGCTCTCTCGACCCACAGCCTTCTTAAAAGGGATGAAGCCTTCTTGCTGTTGGTTCTCTTAAAGTAATCACATTTGTTTGTTGAACTGGTCAGTAAAGCAGAGTGGAATGAACGGTAGACTCCCTCTCGAGCCCCAAAAGGGTATCCAGCCTTGCAACATCAAACATTTGGCTGATAAAAAAGTGTATTGCTAGTGAAATCCTGGCATTGTTTAAATCACAAGATTGGTCTGGGTAAAGATGACCCTTTGGCCCATCCAATCTCATTCTTCCAGAACAACCAAGTTTAGCAACAATCTAATTAAACAGCATTTCAAGTGAATCTATTATAATGTGACCTTAACTAACTATACTTTCTGTGGAATTCTGATCATTATCTCAGAATATGTGCTAAACACAATTGAGAATGTATAAAACTTGTACCTCCACAGCCACATTGAGTTATTGCCACTCTGAATGCTATGTAAAGTTGCCATGTTCTCCTGAGAACTGTAGGTTATTCAGGAGTACAGTATCTTGGGTTCTTTTACAGAGCAAAGGAACGTCGGAATCGAACCCACCCTCTGTGGCAATTTTAATTGTGCAGTTTCTGAGCAACGCAGGTCTGCAGTTCTCCAGGGCATTGCTAATGACAGCAAAGCCAGCCTGGCTCAATGGCAGGACTTGGAAGAGCAGACCAGTCACTGGGGGCAGGGACTCTTCCTACTAAGCTCCCGTTACCCTGTAAGACAAATCCCAAGAGGGTGGTCCTAACTGTACAAACAACAGGAAAACTTGCCAATGGGAAGCTACGCTGTTTTAGCTGGTTAGACTTTAGCAGTATGCCAATGCACACACTGGGGCCCCCAAACCTTGGCTTTTGCCAACCTACGCCTAATGCTTTCCGGAATTAGGTAAGCAGGATGCGTCCCTCCAGGGAAAGAGTGCGCATTCCATTCTATCTCTAAAATTTCCATGTTTTGGTGGGATGCATGGAATTTTCAATTTGATTTGGATACTCTTAAGCATGGTGATAGGTTTCCACATATGTCTGGCCAAAAATAAATAGCCTAGTGGTCATTCTTCACATTTGACCCATTAAAAGTACAGTTTCTATACAACTTAGTTATCTTATACAAATATCAGAAAGCATGATCGTGAAAACATCATTTGGCCCATCAACCCTGTTCCCTCCACGTCTACCCTGTTCAATTCACTTTCTGTAGCCTCTGGGGAGGGGAAGGCTTAGCATCTTCCAATTGCTAGAACAAGATCACTGCTAACAGTTAGTGCTTGATCATGATTAGGGAGTCACTTGATGGTTGCGGTGTGAATTCAGATATTTTGTCTTTTCGCCCACAATATACACAGTCAATCCACTTTATAGTATATCCTTTGAAGCACTTTAACACATCTCAATGATGTGATAAGGCACTATATCAAATGCAACTATTATTATAATTTCTCAGTAATCATCTGATTAATATGCATTGTAGCTTGTAAGATGAACAAATGCGGCTTTGAATGAATGAATATTCACTTTAAGCATTGCCACTGGTGCATTGAAAAGAAACCGTTGTGTGCTTCTATTTTTGTGAGTGGAAGGAAAACTGTCTGCCCATTTTGTCTACAGAATAGTGTATTTTTTAAACAGCGCAGTATCTCTGTAGCTGTTTGCATGAAAGAGTAAATGTTTTGGCAGCACGCAACCTTGTAAACTTGAAAATCTAGGTTGTAGTGGAAAGGAATGAAAAAATATGGGGAACAACAGATACAAAATTATAGTCAGAATTGAACAGTGCAATAAGGAATCAATGATAGATTGGATTAGAATTTTCAACAAGAATTATTTGTTTCAAATTATAAAATAGTTTTATTTAAAATATTGGAATGTTCTGACAACTCGGTGAAATGATGGTTGAAGCGGTGTAAAGTTGGATATACTGATTGTTAAAGAATATTATTTTTTAGATTGAACACTTATGACAGCCAAATAAGTGTTTGGTTTTGAGGTATTATTATGTCCACTTATCCCTGTGTATTTTCTCCACCCTTTTTGGTATGATCAGGCCACATATTTCCTGCAGCAAAGAGGCTGGTTGGCAACTTACTTTCATGTCCTTGTGCACATTACTCTTAATAGTAATATTCATAATTGCGAGCTCAGTTGGTAGCACTCTTGCCTTGGAGTCAGCAGGTTGTAGGTTCACCTTATAACACCTCATTTGCCTCCACCCTCGACTCCAGAACCACAGCGGTCCTGACAGATGTCTGTCAGACATCAAGTCCTGGATGAGAGCTAACTTTCTTCAGTTGAACATCAACAAGACCGAAGCTCTCCTGATTGTCTCCCATCAGCGCCTCCACTCCTCAGGCACTGACAGTATCACCATCCAGGGATGCATACTCCACCTCATTGAGCCAGTCCAGAACCTTGGCTTCTTGTTTGATGCTCAACTATCCTATCTACCCCATATCTGTGCCTTGACCTGCTCTGCCTTCCCCCATCTCAGCAACATCGCCCGGTTCTGCCATTGTCTCACACCGAAGGCCACCGAAACCCTCATACATGCATTCATAACATCCAGGCTTGACTATGCAGACTCCCTGCTTACATAGACTCCGTGACCCTATCACCCCTGTCCTCGCCCGACCCCACTGGCTTCCCATCACACAGAGGATACAGTTCAAGATCCTGGTCCTCATCTTCAAAGCCCTCCATGGCCTTGCTCTCCCCTACCTCTGCATCCTCCTATCCCTTACCAACTTGCTCGCTCCCTCCATTCAGTGGGCTCCGGCCTGCTTCATGTCCCCCGCCTTGCCTGCCCCACCATTCTGCCCCAACCCTCTGGAATTCCATCCTGCAGTCCCTCCACCTCGCCCCTTCCCTTGTCTCTTTCAAGACCCATCTCAAGACCCTCCTCTTCGACCGTGCCTTTGATCACCCTCCTTTCCTCCCTGCCCTCCCGACCCCCAACTCGGGTCTGAAACATTAATTATCCAGCGCCCTGGGACGTCCTCTCGATGTGAAAGGTGCCATACAAATGAAATTTGGTGTTTTTGTTGTTCAAGCTGCACATGGGGATATCTAGCTCAGTCTCAGCTGACACTTGGTTGTGCTGAGGGTACACTGCTTTATCAGAGGTGTTGCCCTTTGGATGAGAGATTAAACTGAGATTCCACCTGCTTATTCAGGTGATTGTTTAAGATCCTATGACAGCATTTAAAAAGAGACGAGGGATTCTCCTGGTGTCCTGGTCAACGATCCAAATTGGTCATGCACGCCATGGCTGGCTGTGGGATATTGGCTGCTGTGTTTACCTAGAAATACACACTTTACATTAACACCTGTCAAGTGCTTTGAGGGACATGGAGTCCTGTAGCTCAGTGGTTAGAGCACTCGCTTCGCAAGCGAGAGACCTGAGTTCAATCCCAGGCAGAGGGCGAAACCTTGGGCAAGTTTCCTTACTCCACACGCCTAATAATAATCCCTCCAAAAACCCCAAACAATAATAAATTGGTCATTTTCAATCTACGACTGTTTGTGGGACATTGCTGTGCTCATTTGGCTGCCGCGTTCGCCCACAAATATACAGTCAATTCACTTTACAGTGTGTTCTGTGAAGCGCTTTGGGACGTCCTCCTGACGTGAAAAGCGCTATATCAAATGCAAGGATTATTATTATTATTATTATTTTGATGACATGATAAGTATGAAATGCAAGGATTATTATTTGTTGACAAACTCTTAAATGGTTTGCAGTACACAAGGAGACTATTCATCCAGTGGTCTTCAACCGTGAAGGTACATGACAGTGACTCAGCGATGACTGTCATACCATCTGATTTTTTCCCCCATAGGACAGTGGATGGAGGGTGTGATCTGGCTTCTACTCAGCCCTTTCCTGTAGCAGCAGAAATCAGCAAACCCATCAAAAGTGAACCTCTTCAGCACTGTGTGACACACAGCATTCTCCAAAGTACTGCCACTATGAGTTGAGAAAGAGATATACAGTATTTCAAAACAAACTTTTTGTTTACATACAAAGCCTTTCGCTCCACGGTGTTGCTTTTCTGAAGTGCATACAATATGCCAACTTATAGCTTTTGCTCTATGGATTTTTATTAGTCTTTTATTCAAAGACATGTATGATGTGTTGAAGGGAGAGTGTATGAATTGCGGAGGTATCAATTTGGTGTCAAACCTTTACTCTTGCAAAGTTGTTACCATGGCAACAGTGTCTACTGAATTCCTTGGCATTTCATGAGACATAACACCAAAAGCCTTTAACACTGAATGATAATTTTATGACGGCACAGGGTAGCACTTACCTTCACTTTGAGAATGTTTTCCAAATACTTCCTCCTACACACCAGAACTGCCAGATGCTAGCTGAGCTGGTCTTGTATGTGGGAGGAAGTTAAATGAAGGCAACCTTAACCCTGAGGTAAGTGGTTTGCAATCCTTTAAGTATAGCTCTTGATGCAATTTGTATGGAAATTCATTCAGTAAAGAAGAACGCAAAGTACTCTAACATAATACCAAGTAATTGGGTAAAATATCTCTGCTTTAATAAGAGAGATATAAATTCCTTTTCTTTATTAATATTACACACAATATTAGTGATATGACACACAGTGGAGATCTGCTATTTCTGATCTTGCCTCATACAAGGCTGACGTAGAACATAAAACGCAGAACAACTGAAGGCTATTTTGCCTATCAAGCATTTTCACTCCACTGACAGACAAAATCTATCCTAGAATAAATGCCATGAGGTGTCGGCCTGGCTCGGTTGTTAGCACTCTCCACTCTGCGTCAGAAGGTTGTGCATTCCAGCCCCATGTCAGGATTTTAACTCATTGTCTAGGTTGATGTTTTAGTTCTGCAGATAGTGTTATATAGTCAGATGTGCTGTTCGTTGGATGAGACCTTAACTGAGGTCCTGTCTGTATGTTTAGGTGTATGTTAAAAATCCCATTGCACTATTTTAAAAATTCCCTACTTAATTCACCTACAAATAAACAATTACTACACTTTACATTGAATCCTGCAAAGCATTTTGAAATGTTTTGACAGCATGGCAAGGCACTATAACAAATGAAAGAATTCTTATTGTCCTGTATGTGGTGTAGCAATGTGTTATACACACAAGGATTCTCCAAGATTTGGTTCTGCCTCAGTGCTGAGTTAGAAAAAATCATGGTGCCACAGTTCACACTATCTCAAATGATAAACAATTACCAATTGGCAGTGTGAAATTTATTGTACACTTTGTATGATATATTATTCAATGTTGTCAGTTGCTTCTTTACATCTGCAAATATTTAATGGCGAGAGGAATTGCAACTTCTGAAATCCTCTTCTGTGAATTTGGAACATGATGGTTTGTGCTGAACGTGAATGTGGATAGCTTCATGTGACTCGTTCAGAAAAGGTAACTGTGGTTGTGTAAAAATGGAAATTCTGTGAAGAGCTTTGACATTTTTCAATGACGTCATAAGGTGCTATATCAAATGCAAGGGTAATTATTATTTTTGATGCTGAGTTGAGAAAACATTACTGTAGACATAACATTTGTGATATGAATGCCCCTTACTGGCACTCAAAGTTTAGTTTCTCAGAACAGACAAACATCAACTTGATGAGAACTAGAAGACTCAGGCAGACTCAGTGAATGTTTATATACTTGCCTGGCAGTAAACGTCCTATGTGAAATCTATCAGCCCACTCCTAGTGGACAGTGTAAAACCTACCATTTGATATCAATTTGGTAATCTCATTCAGAGAGCCCAAGGGATGGGTGGTAATGGAAGTTAACCAAATCAAAACTGGAGTTGCACTTATGTTAGAATTAACTGGCTCTTTGCATTTGATTGCTAAACCTGAACCTAAGTGCTTATTATTGACAATAGCTGGTCGACATGGGAAAGGATTCAGTTTCACAGTATAAACGTCCTGTGCCTTGATGAACACACACAAAAAACACCAAAAGGTATCTAGCTCAGGGGTAAGAAAACAATGAACTCTTGGAGGTTTACTCCCGATGTTTGTCATGACATGACATCGAGAACACTCGCCTTGCAAGCAAGAGGACCTAGGTTCGATTCCTGGCAGGGCAAAAAGTTGGGCAAGTTTCCTTACTCCACAAGTTTCTGTTTTCCTAGCAGTAAGTAGGAACCCAGTTGTTAGTCGATTCGTGGATTGCTTTTTGTGGGACACTGATGTGCGCAATTGGCTGCTACATTTTGCCCACAAAATATACAGTTAATTTACTTTACAGTATGTTCTATGAAGTGCTTTGAGACGTCTCGAAGACATGATAAGCCGCAAGGATTACTATTATTAACCCAACTCCAGATTTATAAATTTGAAGATAGATGACTCTTGCGTGTGAGGGTTGGAGCAAATTTACACATACTGCAGTACTCTTTTAAAGTTGTCTGATGGGTGACTTTCAAAGAAGTTCAGTGATAAAAATAAATCACTTGGCACCCTCATGTTGTCAATATAAAGATCCATTACATGCTATTAAATGAGCTATGGTTTCTGTCATACATTTGACTTGTAAACAGTCTACTAGTATTTTTACAATACTTGGAGCAACAGAATACTCCCCGAATTGATAAAAATGTAAGAATTTGGAAAGGTATGGTATAGACTCTGCTACATCAAGGAAAAATGCTGTCAAGGCTAGATTATTCAATAATATAATGTGCCAATTTTGTCCAGAGTAGATCAATACTAAACCGACAGCAGATGTTTCCGCTATAGTGACTGAACCCTGAAAGCCTCGAGTATTCTTGCCCCAGACTAATGTGGGCGGAGACGATCGGGTTTGTTTTGGAATAAAATAATAATAAACCTTGCATTCGATTTAGCGCCTTATAGTTGAGACGTCTCAAAACGCTTCACAGAATATACTGTAGAGTGGATTCGCTGTGCGTTTTGTGGAAGAAACGATGTTTCTCCCACAAAATAGAACACCGTCTAACAACACCAACAGGTCTGTATTGGCATGAAAGTGCTGGAGTCTGAGACTTACAGCCTGGAATGACATTAAACTTCTGCTTTGTGGCTCAGTGGAACCTCACAGTATTTTTCTCTGAGTGATGCCATGTCCTGTGGACTTGTCACCCACTGGAAACCAACTTAAAAGTAGCATCACCCTGGGAGCCAAAGATGTTTACAAGGAAAGAGGGTTCAGGGGGTAGTGTTACAGGACCTCGGCTGCAACCGAGTGGGTGGTGTAAGTGGTTGAGTTGCACAGCTGCTGAGCCACTTGTGCATTCAGGTGGACAATGATTTTGTTGCGACTTTCTTTCCCCGTCTCAGAAGGAGCTTTACAGGGGGTTCGGGAGTGAGCCATCCGAGAGCCCCCACTGCACTGCTCAGCTCACCACCATCCCCCGGGGACGGCGAGGACTCATCGTGGCGGTCACAGGCAAGAAAGCAGGTGAGGATCCAGGACTAAACCTCTCTCCTTTTCTCACTCACTCACTCACTCTCTCTCTCTCTCTCTCTCACTCTCTCCCCTCTCTACCGTTGTGCTGTTACAGCCGCTGCACTGCACTCAGTCCCATCTGCTCCGGAAAGCCGCCGGACCTGTCCACCCGCTGTGCTCACTGCAGCGGCTTAAAAATAAAAGGGGGCGCACGGATCAAAGGGGGAGACTGAGATCGTAAACATATATATATATATATATATATGTACACACGTGGTTTATTTTGGTGTGGATCTCTGTAGCTGTTGAGTGGCGTTAACTCGTTAACTTGTTGGCTCCTTCCCGCCGGGTGACAAGAAGCTCCCACTTGACTTGAAAGCGATCTAAAGTGCAGACGCAAACATTTGCAACACACAGAGAGACAGAGAGAGAGAGAGAGAGAGAGAGTGTGTGTGTGAGTGAGTGTGAGTGAGTGAGTGAGTGAGTGTGTGTGCGGGTTACGCAAGAGAAGCGGGTGCGCGGGATATTCAATGCTGCTTTAAGAAAGGGCGACAATCTTTCGCCCTAAACACACACACACACACACACATATATATATATATATACACACACACACACTTGAAGTGTCCGGAGGTCTTTTCCCCCTTAATAACCATTGCACAACCAACATCCAATTGGATCGCCTGCAAACGGGAGCGCTGGTGGTGCAGCAGCTGAAGAGCAGACATCGTCGGGGAGTAAAAATACCGCGGGTCTGGATGCCTGGACTTGGTCATCTCACACCACGGTCTATATATAGAAGCTCGTCTGTCGGGGGCTGTGGATTTGAGGGGAGGGGAGGGGAGGGGGCCTGAGCCTTGCAGAAGAGGATAGTTTAATCCATATCCAGTTAAAAGCTGGTGCTGTGTTACAGCTGCATAGGGATTTATTTATTTATGTGAAGAAGTCTGGGGGTTTGCGTGGGGAGGTGTGTGGTGGGTGACAGGTTTGCTGGAGTTGCAGGGGCTCAGGCAGTGGAAGCGGTGCCAGGACCAGTCTGCGCCCACCTCGCTGTGACTGGCTCTGGATGAGGGGAGGGTGGTGCCTGGTGTGGCCCCTGGTAGGGGGCAGAGGAGGGCTGTAGTTCTCGCCCTGGGGCTGCCCGGCATGTGGCATGGCTTTGGGCACAGCGCTGGGGTCCATGGTGGCAGCTACTTGAGCAGAGCACAAGGCTGGGAGTTTGTGTCCAGGTCCCCCCCAGGGGGCAGGGAGAGGAGCAGGAGTCCTCTCAGAAACATGTCAACCTCGGCCATCCCTGTGGATCCCAAACAAGCGGGAGGCGTCCTGGCCCCAGGGAGCAGAGCCCAGCCTGAGAAATGCCACCTCCAACATCAACACCTTCGATTCAAGAGGAAGTTCGAGGAAATCAAGAAACGGTACAGTCAAGACAAGGCGGCCTGGATCAGAGAGAAGGAGCTGTTACTGAGGGAAGTCGCCGAGATCCAAGTAAATACAGCGCATCCACCAGACTGGCTCTCCTGGCTCCTCAGTTTGCCAGTGTTACTAGTTATTAACAATTACCACATTCAATTGGTCACTCACTCCATGGCTGTTTGTGGGTCAATGCTGTGCACACCTGGCTGCTGCCTTTCGCCCGCAGATATCGCAGTTAATCCACTTGCAGTATATCCTGTGAAGCGCTTTGAGACCTCTCAGCCATATGATCAGGCCCCCACTGTATATAAAAAACGAAAGGATCATTATTATTATGTCGTGTGATTTCATGGTAAAAAATAAAACGGTAGTGAATTGCTGCACCTTTTGAAATGCGCAGTTTGGTGCTTCCAATGATCTTCACAATATCACAACTGCAGTATTCTCTTATTCCTTTAGTTGCACGCTCCTTACATGACATTTTAATTCAATGATATTGCTCCCTCCAGTTTCCCAAAAATATTGTCTTTAATAGATTCAGAAAAATGTTAGGGAAAATGAAATTGCACCAAGGGTGTTATTGGCAACATTCTAGGTCTCGATCTAAAGTAGAATTAACAAATTGAAAGTGTTTACATTTGTTGCAAATTTCCTTTTCAGGTAATTTTCAGAAAGTTTCAAAAGGTATTTATTTAAAAACGCCAATGGTGCATTTCCTGTCAGTTCACCGTGTGATATGTATAAATGGCAGCTGTACTGTATTTTTAAGTACAGTATGTTGTAAATTCACTGTGATTAGCAATAGTAAGCTATTTATTTATTGACCAAAGATTGGAACTGGGATATTGCTAGCCTATATAGCTCAGTACAATACTGAGTGATGCATTTATTAACAGCCATTTTATGACATTTGCAATGTTTGTTTTCCAAACTTTCTATTGAATGCTTATATCAAGAAAGGGATGGTAGTACTGAGAAATTTGAACACTTTCACATTCCGGGCACTAGTGTCGGTGCTCCTAAGTGAGGCACTATAGCACACGCAGATAAATGCAAAGTTTCCTGCATGCCAAACTCAAAAATCACCAGCAGAAGGTTTTTCACTTCCCACATTAATCATCTTGGTCTCTGTGAATTAGATTGTCAGTTTACGTCAAATTGAGAGCAGTACAGCATCGTACTGTAAGTACGTACCCACTGGGAATAGGATTCAGGTTGACCAAACTCATATATGCTGCCCTTACATCAGTCACTTACTCGATGGCTCTTTGTGAGACATTGCTGTGCACAGTTGGTGACTGTGTTTCACCCACAAAATCACAATCAATCCAATTAACAGTATGTTAAGTATATTATTAAATACACCGGAAGACTTTTTGAAAGTCTTCCTATCTAACCAATAATAAATAATAAGATGAATGAATGGGCTTGATTTGGGTTTCAGAGGTGAAATAAGATTATTTAACCCATAGTGTCATCCATTCCCCCATTTGTATAGCCAAATGTGCTTTCTTTATTTAACTTTCTTTGATACTATATTGTTACTAAAGTAACAATGGAATATAAAATGTCGTGTACATTTTATTTATTCCAGGCTGGTGAAAATAGAAGAATTTTGCTTGATCTTCGGTCCATTTTGGAAGGCATTCAGACTGAACTTAAAAAGGAGGAAGATCAAAGGACAGAGTTGCATCGTCAATATTCTGGTGATAAATATGCTTGGGAGCTGGAGAGAGCAGAGCTGAAATGTCGTATTGGACAGGTGTATTTCTTTATTAACAAAAAACTGCTGGTTGAGAGCAAAATATCCATGGAGCAGCAGAACACTTCATAAAAGTTTGTTGTTGAGAAGACAGTTATTTTCTAAATTGCCAGGACTCTCAAACTAAACATCTTAGTTATTATACATTCATTAACACAATCTAATGTAAAACCGAAAAAAAAACTATTGGGTAGAAATTCCACCTGGGTCTAGAATTATTCTATGTATATAATATTTCACATTGTCAAGAATTTGTCAGATTTTTAATTGCTTAACTTAACGCTTTTTTTTGTATGTTCTTTAAAGGACTGCAGAAAAAAACAACTTCAAAGCTAAGACCGAATTAATAATTTCAAATGTAGTTTGCGGGTACAAAAAGCAGTCAATAAGGCAATTGTGATGCTTACCATTATTAAAAGAGATCTGGAATCTAAGTGTTTCAATTATAGAGAGACTGTTCAGTTTGGGCACCCAATTTTAGGAAGCATATACTATCTTTGAAGGATGTCCAGTGGTGAATCACTAGTCTAATACATGATGAGAAGTTGGGTAGACTGGAGTTATATTCCTTAGAACAGAGGAGGTTAAGGGATGATTTGATGGAGATATTTAAAATGATGTAAGGGATTGGCAGGTTATGCAGTGGATGACTCTTCCCTCTTGTGGACAGATCCATTACAAGGGGGCATGGCCTTAAAATCAGAACAAAGACAATTAGAACTGAGGGCAGGAATCATTTAGTCACACAGAGGGTTGTGATGCTGTAGAGGCGGACAGATACTTGGATAGTGTGATATTAAAATGTATAATGAAACGGTGGAGCATTGGGATTATAAAATCTGTGCAGATCTAGTACAATAGTGGAGCAGGTTTGATAGGCTGAATGATCTCATCCTATTTCTTTTCTTAGGTTTGTATGCTTTGCGGAACTAGACCTAATTGATTCTGTTTTGTCCAGGAATTACACATTTCTATTACAATCCGTTTGTTCTCAAAAATTGTGGTAACTTTACTTTTAGAACTGAAAGGGGAAATAATATTTAGCTATTAGTCACCATTTTCATTGTATTGAAAATGCAGATAATTTTAATATTTGACATGATTTGACATGATGTGTAAATATATTTTTAGTTCCATACAATAATCTTTGCATTTATGCATGTTATATGGAAGCTGTGTAGAGAATCTCAACAGGTTATGCTTATAATATTGGAAGTTCAATGTTATGCAATGTTTCTGTTTTATCTTTTTCTACATAACTGGAAGTTGGAAGCTAAAGTAAATAGACAGCACGTGGACAAAGTACCTCAAGACGCAAGAGAAACATTAAGGAAAGAAAGGGAGGAACAGAAGCGTCTGTTGGCTGACACTCACTCGGCAGCCATGGACCTGAGGAAGCAACTGGAGAACAGCGAGAGAACCTGGGGCAGGGAGAAGGTGGAGCTACTGGAACGTTTCGACAATGAGAGAAAGGAATGGGAAAGTCAATTGAAAGACATGCAGAGCAAGATAGAGCAGGTGCTGAAGTTAGTCACATCTAAGTAACATGTAGTATACCCTTGTAATAATGCCCATAGTCGGAGCCATTACTTAAATATTCTTGAAAGCAGTGTACAATGGTGTTTGTCCCGGCTTTTCAATTAGTTCACTGATATGCAAATCTGATGAGATTCCATTGGTTAAAATCATCATCTGTGGAGTCCTGTAGCTCAATGGTTAGAGCACTCGCCTTGCAAGCGAGACACCTGGGTTCAATTCCAGGCAGGGCGAAACCTTGGGCAAGTTTCCTTACTCCACACACCTGATAATAATCCCTCCAAAACAAAAACAGTAATAAATTGGTCATTTCAATCCACGGCTGTTTGTGGGACACTGCTGTACGCAATTGGCTGCCGCGTTTCGCCCACAAATATACGGTCAATTCGCTTTACAGGATATTCTGTGAAGCGCTTTGAGACATCGAGAAGACGTGAAAAGCGCTATATCAAATGCAGGGATTATTATTATTATCATTATTGCTTTATATCTTAGATTTTAAATTCAGGTGTTTTATTATTATTTATTGGGAAAAGAGATGAAGAGTGAAGAGTATAAACACTGGCATCCAGTTCGGCCCAAGGGCCTGTTTCCGTACCCCATCTAATTTTATGAATCCCTGTCCCAGTGACTGGTCTGTCCCTCCATGCCGTGCAGACACACCAGGCTGTCTGGTCTGATGTCAATGCTGCCTTTGAATACTGCAAACCAGGGCCAAGGGCAGGCTCATCATTTTGAAACCAGGTCAAGGATGGCTTATGTTAGCCTGTCTGATCTCTCATTCAAGTTTGACCCACTCGTAGCTGAGGGACAGGCCAAAATAATAGAATTAATGAAGGGAATTTTTTTTAATATATTATACTCCAGTTCTGTTGAGTGGTTGGGTTGTCTGAGCCACATTGAATCCCATATGTGAAAAATCAATTAATTAAGAAAGAAAAAGTGATTTGGAAAATATAATGAAGGGTACAGAGAATATATTGAGGATTTTTTAAAAATAGACAAGAAAATAGCAGAACAAGCTTGAGGGATCAATAGTTCCTATCTGTGGAAAAATAATTCACACTGGCATATGTTAATGCTTTCAAAAGGTAAATGGATAGAGCTGGTTAGATACAGTTACAGAATTTTTTCAGCTTGGTAAATGATGTGATCCTACCTGATCGCTAATGCAAATTAATAGGAGTATTCCATTTCTTTTTAATCAGATTGTTATAATTGTCCTGTGATGTGAAGTAAACCTGGCCATTTGTGACAAGTGTTGCAGGAATCATATTGCATTCTGAATAACCACAAAAGGTTGAACATAACACTAAAATTACTTTTATTATTCATGACAATAATACTTGCATTTTGCATAACACTTATAATGTCTTGAAGGCTTCATAACGTTTTCTGTAAAAAGTGACTGTATTTGCAAATGAACACAGAAGCCAATCTGCGAATAACAATGTCCCACAAACAGCATGGAATGAATGACCAATTTTGTTATTGGTCAGGACACTGGGCGAAACTCTTTCATCCTTTAGACTAGTACAGTGAAATCTTTAACGTTCATTTGAACATGGAAAGGAAATCATGGTTTAACATCCATAAGATGGTACCTTAGACAATGCAGCACTTTCCAGCTATCTTCAGATTGCCATGCGAGACAATGAGCTCAAAGTTCCAACATGAGGATTGAACTCACAACCTTCTGACTTGGAACCAACTTAGCTAAGATGACACCTGACCCATTTTAAAAAAACATTAAGGACAGAAAAAGGTTTGCAAGGGAATTTGCAGCTTCTAATTCTCTTTCATCTCATTATGCTGGTCTGGAATAAACACCAGATCCCATAGAAGAAAGGAAAGCATTCAAATGCACTGCACCATCCAATGTCTTAATGCTAAGGTTTAGCTGGTGGAGTTTCTCAGTCATACACGTTTACATGTGATCAGTTCAATCCCAACCAATAACTGTTGACAGTAAATATTTGTTCTCTATTTGTTCAAAATGTTATCAAGATAATGATTAGTTTTACTTAAAACCTTCCTTTGCAGCTTTACCAAGAGGTAAAGGCAAGACAACAATGCAACTTGAATGGAAATGGGCAGAGACAAGGAAAGAATACTAGAGATAACTGTGTGCTGCTGAACTTACATTCCTGCAATCCTCAATATGGTGAATCACATGATGATAAAGACCAGAAACTTATGAACTGTACATGGGCCTATGATGCAGTGATCAAAGATAATGCCCCAAGTGATGCAGTACAAGGCACAGGAAGGTGTTCAACAATAAGTGCAAGCCCACTGTTTATTGATGATGCATCACATCAAAGTTTAGAGGACAGTGGCAGCAGTGAAGAAATTGAAAATGCAGAGAAAGATACAAAGAAATATTCCAGTACCTTGAATGCAGTAAGTCATCCTTTTCTGTAACTTAGAGGGTTAGAAATTCCACTGGGATCTTGATTTTTTTCTATTTTCATAGTATTTCAGAACATCCAGAATTTGTCGATTTCAAATAATAAATTAATAAATAGTTTTATTATTAAAGCCAGATTTTTGTAAATTCTTTTTTAAGAACTATAGAAAACTGGCTTCAAAGTTAAGATAGAATTCAGCAATTTGCCAAATTCTGCACACTCTGAAGTTGAGTAAATCTGGACATAAGTGGATTTTCACACCATACAGTGTTTTAAATAATATGTTAATGCCTGCAACTTACACACTGTCTATCATTATCACAGGCTTTACAGGAAATAGCAAAAGTGAGTGAAGAGTTATGCAATTACCAGGAGGAAGTCCGGAAAAAAACTAAGCACAAAAGGTAAACCATAAAAAAAAACTCTCTCCGTTTTAAGATGAAATGAATGTTTATCAAATAATGTATAGAAATTAAGTGTATAGAAGTGTGAAAAGATATACTACAGACAAAACTCATTTAAATCTTTTAAATTCATATTTTTGCCAATATTATTTTTTAGGAAGCTGGTTTTGAAATTAAGACTTTAGCCCACAAATATTTTTCAGATTTCTCCCTCTTCCGTTGACAAAATGTAGGGTTAGAAGATAATAATAATATAATAAGCACTTCACAGAATATATTGTAAAGTGGATTGACTGTGTATTCTTTGGGTGAAACGGGCAGCCAGTTGTGTACAGCATTGTCCCACGAATGATTTTTTTTTTGAGATTATTATCCCTGGAAAGGGTAAGGACGTAGACTGATTTTTTTTTAAAAAAACTTCTATCCCAGTTTTAAGAAAATCCACAGTGACTGCAACAACAATACTTGCATTTATATGGCACCCATCATTATCTCAGCCTATATATTTATATATGCACGGCACGATGGTGTCTCAGATCGCTAAACATTACAGTGAATCCAGTGAAGCTCTTTGAGATGTTCTCCTGATGTGAAAGGCGCTGTATCAAATTTAAGAATTCAAAATGTCATAATGTTAAATGGCCAACAGTAATTTCCCCATCGGTCTAAAAAAAACTCTCCAAATTTTCACTCTAAAGTCTTTTTTCCCCCCCATTTTCAATCCTCTGGCACATTCGGTTAACTCATCCATATTTTATTGTTGTGCTTAAATTGGCTGTCCTGTGAGATGACCTACTGATGTGAAAGGCAGTATATGAAATGTCAAGGTTATTTAATATTTATATAAAATTTTCAGATCTCTTAATTCATACTGCAATTTTGACTCCCATGTGTTATGGCACCTGGTACTGTTAGCGTAAAAATTATATCTTCTGGTTTAATATAAGATATGTGTATACCGCTTAAAACACAATTTGCTGCATATTGAGAATAATCCAGTAACTTGCTTGGAGGAAAAACCTTTGCATTGTTTTTCTTCCTTTAACCCTATTTTAATGTTGGATATATTCTCAGAAACAATAGCTTGAAACAGATTGTTATCGTGTGTTAACCATGATTTACTGCTCTAAGCCTCAAATTATCAAAATATCAGTTGTTCTTCAGAACGTTAAATCATTTTTACAGCTGCCAATCGTACAACTACACAAAGACTTAACTTTTATATTTTTCTTTAACTAGAACAAAATTGGTTTCATATCTGCAAGGACTTAAAGGGAAAGAAAATGCAAGTATATTTTCAAGGGATGACATCTTTACAGATGAGAAAAGCAATGGGTCATACAATATATTTAAAAACCCAGGTGCTATACTTTCAAAAAACCATCTGTGTTGTGAAGAGCTAAATGATGAGAACAAGTGGAAACAAACTGATAGAGATGGGAATCAAATCCCTCTTGGGCTTCCAGGTATGGATGACATAACCAATGAGCCTCCCTTAACAAAATCAGAAGCTCCACCTGTTCCACCAAGGACCTCATCATGGTACCTTGCAAATTCACTTTCAGTATTTCCATACAATCAAGAAAATGCCGTGAAGGAAGACAGCAGTAACTGCAAAACTCAAGATAATGTTAAAGGCCAGACATTCAGTGACTCTTCTTCTGTGAGGCAATTTGAGACAATACTGCATGAGAATGAAGGCAAATTGTTTCCTGGACAATTCAATGCTTTTCCATCACAAATTAAGCGAGGTGTGGGCTCTAAATGCAATGGAAACAATAACAGGTGGTCATGTGATTTAGCTAAACTTAGCACGGGAACTGAAAGTAAATTTCCTTTTTGTTTACCATTAAAAGCGGTTCACTCAGATGTAAGTATAATGTCATTTGTGCAGCAGCAGAATTTGGGTCCAAAATCCATCAATGGACTAAAGCAAAGCAAAGCTCTCTTTCCAAACTGCAATATTCCACAGTGTAACTTTGCAGACATTTCAAAGGCAACAGGCAATTGCAAATGCAATGGTGCATTGGCAGCACAACCGCAGTCAGATATTCCTGTAGCTCAAACAGGCAGCGACAGCAAAACTGTTTTAAATACTGAAAGCTGTGGCCTTGCTCAGCACGGAACATCAATGGAATCAACGCAGATTGAAAAACCTACTTGTTCAACATTTGATTTCTCACTTCACTCTGCAGAGAACAGCAATGTTACTGGTCAATTTCTTGCCAACCGCCATGGTTCAGCCTTTAGACCATACATGTCACCTTCTTTCCTCACCAACTCGAGAACAGCAGGGAAGGACAAGTCCAGCAATGTTTTTTCAGGCTGGATGATTGGTAATGACAAAGGGGAAGTGACTGCTGAGAATGACCTGAGGCCAAATAATCCTTTTTGTCAAATGCAATCGGATTCAAAGTCCAACATCGGGACTGTCCAAAAGATGTTGAGAAGCTATGAAAGGTCATTGAATCCTTCCCTTGAAGTGAAGGAAAAGGTACATAACTTCACTGGTGGCAAAACTCAGCAACAAGCATCTTTGCAGGAAAGTAGAAATGAGTTTGTTAACCTTTTTCAAATACTTCATCTTGAACAAAAAACACGGGAGGAATCAAAACAGCCAGCAGTGTTCAGAGGGCTCTCTGACGAGGAGGCTCCATTACCAGAGGTAAGCAAAGAAGGTAGTACACAAAAGCACTTCTGTTGCTTTAAATCTGCATTGCAATTATTATTAATTTTCTGTTCATTTTTTNCATGTGCCCCATTTACACTGCATTATATATCATTCTTTAACAACAAATGACATTTGTATAGCTTTTTATCTCGTGAGGATGCCCCAAGGCCATGAACAATCAGGAATTTGGACCCGAGCCGGGAGGGGGTTAGGATCAGAAGGGGTAGAGAGCAGGGAGGGTAGGGGTAGGAGAGTGACCGAAGGCTCGATCGAAGAAGAGGGTCTTGAGATGGGTCTTGAAGGAGGCAAGGGAGGGAACTAGGCAAAGGGACTGTGGAATGGAATTCCCAAGGGTGGGGGCAGAGAGGCTGAAGGCTCAATCGCTGATGGTGGTCAACAACAACAAGATTACATTTGTAAAGCGACTTTCACGTCGGGAGGACGTCCCAAGGCACTGGTCAATTAGAAAACAAGACAGGTGACCTACCAATCCTCCTCTTAAGTGGTTTGGAGCCACATGCTCCAGAGAAGTGTCAATCTCTGATCTAGAATTGCATAGGAATGTATTAAAATTATTCTCTTTACCCCTCTCCCCATTTGCATCCATATGCAAGGCTGCAGAGACCAAGGGTAATTATTCAATAGATTATACTCCTGTCAGTTAAACACTGTAGAAAGCAGCTCAAATTGGGCAGTCTGTCAAATGAGTAAATGTAAGGGTTGGTGTAATATGGATGGTGTCACTACTAACATACCATATCTCATGCTAAGGATGTGCATCGAGAGTAATCTGGGTATCTAGGGACACTAGTTATTAATGCAGCACAACTGAATGTTACAATACTATTACTGAGTAGTTTGAGTTATCAATATCTTCCATAGGGGAAGGTACGTGTGCTTTATATGGGCTAAGATGAATCCAAAGTGACGTGTATGGTAATTGAAAATCAAAATTGAGGTGATCCTTTGTGGTGGAGGTGGTAGTCCTGTTTCTGTGCCAAATAGTCTTATAGCATTCCAAGGCTATGGTGATAGACTAGGCAGCCTTTTGTATCAGCAGGACTTGTAAGAGTAGCCTCAGGAATAGGAATTATTTCCAGACAGCTGCAAGTCAAAGGCCTAATGTGTAGGGTGATCCTAATTGGACAACAACAACAAGATTACAGCGGAAAGGTGGCCAGACAGTGTTTACATTGACAAGCTGTGTGGTTTTAGCTGGCGACCTCTAGCAGTACCCAATGCACACACTGGCCAAGCTTTGATTCTTGCCAACATGTACCTGATACTTTCCAGAATTAGGTGAGCAGGTGTCCCCCTCTGGGAATAGAAAAGCACACTCCATTCACATCAAATGTAAGGATTATTATTCCAGACTTATGGAACTCTCAATAATTTAGTTTAGATACTCTTGAGCACAGTGATGGGTTTCTGTGTGTGTCAGGCATAATGTTAACCTAATTGTGCTGTTTTGTACATTGATATTATGGCACCATTTAGCTTTCCTCTATAGCTCCCTCCCTCTCGCTGAACCTCTACTGAAAATCTCTGGAGAAAATATAAGTTAATGACATTACCTACGCTTCCAGAAACCTAGTTGATCTGCCTTCATTTTAGGACTGGAAGCTTTACTCAACAGAATTTAAAAAAAACTTTGTCCTAGAACTATAGAAAATGACCTTGGAGCTAATTTGGATTATGATAACTGGTATCATGTTGGCCTTTTAATATTTATCACAAACAGATGGTGAAATGGTTAAGAAGAGATTTACTGATATATGTAGTTTGTTACACAGCAGAAGTGTTTGGTGCATTCTGGCATACTATTGCTGAAGTATGTGCTGACATGTCTGCTTTAATGTTCCATGACAAAATTGAGGGAGCTCTGCAGCCTCAAAAGGTGCCGTAATCATATCTTTATGATATTATTGACCTTATTCAATTTAGCAAAATGGTATGAAATATATGGAAGAAATATGAAATTTATAAATATATTTTGTTTCACACCATCTGGCTGAGTACCTTTATTATGCTATGTTTGTCCTTCTTACCCATTAGAAATTATGCTAACAAACGTTGGAACTCTTGTCATCATGCACTCTTGTAAGAATTGCTGGTACTTGAGCTAGATGTTAATATTTATTCCGAGAGTACAAGATCTATTGCAGTGGCATCTCACCATTGCACGTTGTTAGGGCAACGCTTCAGGCACTGCTTATCCTGACTATGTAAATCTCTCAGTCAGTGTCATCACTTGGAACTCAATCACTTGTGTGCAAAAGTCTAAATGCAGTTTTATTCATCACTTGTTGAACTAGGCTTGCTGATGCATACTTCAAGCTATTGAGAGAGCTGCTCCCATTGGCAATTTGTTTTTCAAGTCTCATATTGTCTCTGAAAACATTGAGCCATTGGAAAGCAGGGTTAAGAGATGTTTGAGCTGTATTTGTGACTTTTTTTGTTAAAACTTTGCATTTATCAAGGTGAGATACGTTAATGGTAGGAAAAGAATACTGCTACTCCTGGGTTGTGCCTATACCTACTGAGATACTTGACAATTTCTATGAAAGTCAATATTAAGTGCCATTGTGAGTCAAATCACAAGCTTTTTCATTTATAATATAGTTTGATTCTCTCTGGAAAGATATCTTTGACAGCTCTATAAGTGGTGTGTTATGGGTGTTTACCTATTGTTTTCTGTTGATAAGGAAACCTTATCTAGATACATGCTGTATCAGAGATTATAAATGCTGTTTTACGTTAGAATACATTAGAATATATAGCACAGAAACAGGCCGTTCGACCCGACTGGTCTATGCCGGTGTTTGTGCTCCACATGAGCCCCCTCCTGCCCTACCTCAACTAAGCCTTCAAGCATAACCTTCTATTCCTTTCTCCCTCATGTACCTATCTAGCTTTCCCTTAAATATATCTATGCTATTTGCCTCAACAACTCCTTGTGGTAGCATGTTCCACATTCCCACTACTCTCTGTGTGAAGAAATTTCTTCTAACTTCCCTATTTGATCTATTGGTAACTATTTTATATTGATGGCCCCTGGTTTTGGTCTCACCCACAAGCGGGAACATCTTCCCTATGTCTACCCTATCAAAACCTTTCATCATTTTAAAGCCATTATCAGGTCACCCCTTACCCTCCTCTTTTTAAGAGAAAAGAGTCCAAGTATGTTCAGCCTTTCCTGAGAGGTATAACCTCTCAGTTTGGGGATCATCCTTGTGAATCTCCTTTGCACTCTCTCCAGTGCCTCTATATCCCTTCTATAATGTGGGGACCAGAACTGCACACAGTATTCTAAGTGTAGTCTAAGCACACCTTCCCTGCTTTTCATTTCTATCCCTCTAGAAATGAACCCCAATGCCTGGTTTGCTTTTTTATGGCCTTATTAACCTGAGTTGCTACTTTTAGTGAATTGTGTATGTATACCCCAAGGTCCCTTTGTGCTCTACCCATTTAGGTTTTTATTTTCCAGGATGTATGTGACTTCCTTATTCCTTCTACCAAAAACTACCACCTCACACTTTTCTACATTGAAATGCATTTGCCATTTAAATGCCCACTCAGCAAGTTTATTAATGTCTTGCTGTAATTTGTTGCAGTCTTCCTCTGTATTAGCTACTCCCCCCAATTTAGAGTTATCCGCACATTTTGAAATTATACTGCTGATTCCTGAATCAAAATCATTGATGTATATTGTGAACACCATTGGTCCCAATACCAATCCTTGTGGAACACCACTGCCCACCCCCTGCCAGTCTGAGTAGCTACCCTTTTATCCCTACTCTCTGTTTTCTGTTTTGCAGCCAGCTTGCTATCCATTTTGCTATTTTTTCCCCTGACTCCACATGCTCTGATCTTATTCATCAGTCTGTTTAATGTGGTACCTTATCAAACGCCTTTTGGAAATCTAAATATATTACATCTACCGCATTATCTTGTCTACGTTTTCTGTTATCTCTTCAAAGAATTCAAGTTAGTTTAGTCAGTGAAACTCGAGCAGGACACTAACCACATTCTGGGGTCCCCAAGCCTTGGCTCATGCCAACCCATGCCCAATGCTCTCCGCAGTTAGATAAGCATCTTGCGTCCACCTGGAGAGAAAGTGCACATTCCATTCCAACACAAGGACATTTCCAGGTGGAGATGGCATGCATATGTGTAGTAATAATAATAATAATCCTTGCATTTGATATAGCACTTTATCACGTCTTTGGGTCGTCTCAAAGCGCTTCACAGAATATACTGTAAAAGGAATTGACTGTATACTTTGTGGGCAAAACGTGGCAGCCAATTGCGCCCAGCAGTGTCCCACAAACAGTTGTGGATCAAGTGACCAATTTTTTGGGGAACTCTCAGTCTTGCTTGGATTATTTTAAGCATGTGTCAGATGCTTGACTAACTATGTGTGACTGAAGAGTGACAGTGATATCTTACTAGACAGTCAGTCTTTTGAGGGTCAGGGTTGTCATTAAAATTATCAGAAGATAATTGCATTTAAATCATCTTTGTTAACAAATCAGGACAGATATAAACAGCTGTTCCAAACAAAGTATAAATCTTAAGATCAGCATTATTACTGAGTTCTGAATTTGACCTATTGATTTTTTACTTACAATTTGATATTTGAAATGGTTTGATTTCTGCCCTGTGCTTTATTTTAATACAATGTCAATTTGTTAGTGTGAGCCGAGTAGGAAAGAATTAAAGTGTGAATATCAATAAACCCTTCCTATCACTGAACCAAACTTCTGTTTCAGATCCTGCTGCCTGGAACAGTGACAGCAAATGGGATGAGTTTCTCCCGTCCTGCTAGACCATCAAACCGGCGCTTACCAACACGATGGGCCATGAGATCTCCATCTGCACCGGCTGTGCTTAACCGTGCGGCCCAAAATCGTAACCAGTCACTCTTATTTGCCACAGAAACTTCAATCATGTAACATTTTGAAATTGATGGTGCAAGCAACAGAAATGAGTTTAGCACGTGCTTCATCTACCTACTGGCTTTTTCTTAAATGACAATAGATTTTATATCCTATATTAAAAAAATTGGAACTACTGGGCATCCTTTCCCAATATCAAGAATGGCTTAAGAAGGGAAGGGTTGTTTGTTAAAAGTATTGATAGTCTCCAGTACTTATATTAGCCTTTGGAATCTACATACATTGAGCGTCGATCAAATTACACCATTACAAACTAATTATTTTTCAATGTGTATTTATTAGTTATACGAGTGAATACTGTGCTTATTTTACAATGTTTACTGTATAATCCTGAATTTCGTTGTAAACTTGTATATCAGATGTATTCAATGGGGAGCAGAAAACGTAGCTATTTGCATGCCTTTGTGTTTGTATATGCATGTGTAGCTGAAACCTGCAGCTGTGTCTGTTGGGATTTAGGTAACACGAACATCTACTTTACATGTTTATGGTCAGATAAGAGTTGAATTCCAAGCAGGTCTTTCTTTCCATTGTTGCACATGGAAATGTGATGCTTGTAACAGAGTGGCGAGACAGATATCATTTTCATTTTAAAATGTGTCTTGACATTATTTAGCCATTTTAAGGAACTTTGAAGAATAAAATGCTGCTTTTAGTTTAACCCTGACCCCAGCTGTAAAAAAAGAATGTACAATATTAAGAATAAAACTGCCTGCAGTTCAAGTAGTTCTTCAAATTTTATATTGCAATTTTAGCTGTTTATTAGACTCATCAATCTGACGTTCAGTGATATTAAAGGTCAAGGGTCACAAAAGTTCACTATATACAGCTCCCCAGACATTCCCCCAGTTATAATGCGTTTTATCTTCAGGCTGAGAAAAGCCACTCATATTGCATTTTGGTGATATTTCCGTTACCTCTCTGTTCGTTGCCTATAGAAGCTGCACCACTGTACAACCCTGTTGGAATGTCTTTTGGCAGATCCGGTCCCTATAGTGCAATATGTCAGAATTAAGAGACAGCAGAAGGAAGAATGGGTGGAGAACAGGCAATATTTTACAGATCCAGTCAGAAAAGCGAATTTTACTCTATACTGAAAAATAGGTCTGGAGTCATAAGAGTCTTGTCTTTTTGGTTTTGATTGCTTTCAATGTACCATTTCTCTCATCCAATTCCTTGTATTGCAAATATATTTTAGAAGTTGTTTCACCATGTGATTATCATTTCCTAATAATAATGAGATATACAGTAATACTATTTATGTTCTCTTTGATGCTATTTCTTTCTGCCAACACTATAATCAGATCAGTGCAGATACTATCATATAAATAATTCATAAGCTTTCAAATTGCAAATTCTTTTTGCAATTTTACCAAAATGAATATTAATGGCTTCCTATGGTTATATAAGTCACAATAGTTTCATATTTAGCTGTGATTATATGCTAGATTTTTGACTATCAATTAATGTGTGTAGGATTTCGATCTCTATATCACATGCAAGTTTTTATAGGCCATATATTTAATGCACATGGGGAATGTTAATTTGTCCTATTTTAGTCAGGTCTGTATCCCAAAGCATTGGCTGAACCATTGCTTCAGTCAGTGGTGATACCAATTCGTTGTAAGGTCAATTCATTGCAAATAGCAGCAATTGCAGCAAGTGCACAATAAGTTGAATGAAAGCATACTGCTATAAACTCTGGATGTACAGTTACATATTCTTGTTTAAGCAGAAATATTTAATATTAATGATTTTTATTCAAAGGCTCCATCGCCTAGTTTCTGAAAATATCCTAAATGCTGGAGATTTAAATGGGAATATCTAAGGAAATGTTCAAACTATTGTTTTATTTAGGTTTCCTTGAAACACTCTATCTGACACAAAAAAAAGACAAAAGGGCAGTGAGTAGGAGAATGAGATTATATTAAGTGCCCCATGTGAATAGGAACAACAGCATAGACTTCATGTGCTAAATGGTCTTTCTCTGTCCTATGAATAGTGTTCTTTGATTCGAGATGCAATTCTGGCCTCAGCTAAAGAGCTGGCTGTTTGGATGTACAATTTGTTCTTCCCTCCTTATGAAGAAACTCTTAACCTCCACTCATCACTTTCTCAATTGACACAACATTCTGCATGGTGGGAATCAGGGTTTCCACCTTTTCATAACAAACTCTTTTTAATTATGTATCTTTCTCTAAGACAGGAGCAGTTTTAATAAAAAAAAGGTTATCTTAAAATTATAGAATTTGGCAGTTCAGATGGAGGCAGTGCAATTTTGCCCTTCGTGCCTGTGACAATTCTCCAGATGTGCTATACATTTAGTTCAACTCCCTTGCTCTTTCCAGCAGGACCCTGCATGTTGCCAACAATGTGTAGGGTGCTGCAACTCACATGCTGAAAAACATTGTAGAACAAAGAGGCGAATAAGACATTAGAAAGGAATTGTGGAATTGTGTATGGCAGGATCCGGAAACTTGTCCAGTCTGGGGCAATATTAAAAGACGTAGGAGCAGGAGTAGGCCATTTGGCCCCTCAAGCTTGCCCCGCCATTTAATAATGGCTGATCTTCTAACCTAATTCCATTTACCCACCCTATCCCCATATCCCTTAATCCCTCTATTTAGAAATCTATCAACCTCAGTCTTGAATATGTTCAAGGACTGAGCATCCACATCCTTCTGGGGTAGAGAATTCCACAAATTCTCTACCCTCTGAGTGAAGAAATGTTTCCTCAACTCAGTTTGAAAAGGTTAACCCTTAATCTTGAGACTAGGACCCCTAGTTTTAGATCCTTCAACTAGGAGAATCAGTCTCACGGCATCTACCCTGCCAAGACCCTTAAGAATCTTATAGGTTTCTATAAGATCACCTCCAATTCTTCCATTTTCTAGAGAATATAGGCCTAGTTTACTCAACCTATTCTCATAGGTCAAACACCTCATCCCATGAACTAACCTAGTGAATCTATGCCCCACCCCCTCTAAGGCAAGTATGTCCTTTCTTAAATAAGGAGACCAAAACTGCACACAATATTCTAGGTGCTGTCTCACCAAGGCCCTATACATTTGCAGCAAGACTTCCCTACTCTTGTACTCTAACCCTTTTTCAACGAACCCCAACATGGGATTAGCCTTCTTCGTTGCTTGCTGTACTTGCATACTAACTTTTTGTGACTGGTGTACAAGGTCACACAAATCCCTCTGAACACTAACACTACCTAGTCTCTCCCCCTCTAGAAAATAATCTGCTTTTCTATTTTTACTACCAAGCTAAATAACTTCACACTTCCCCACGTTATACTCCATCTGCCACCTTCTTGCTCACTCACCTAGCCTGTCTATTTCCCTTTGCATTCTTCGTGTGTCATCCTCACTTTATTTACTTTACTTTACTCACAGCTTACTCTCCCACCTATCTTTGTATCATCTGAGAATTTAGGTATATTAAGTTCTATTTCCTCATCTAAATCATTGATATAGACAGTAAATAATTGAGGCCCAAGCACTGATCCTTGTGGCAGTCCACTAGTCACATCCTGCCAATCTGAGAAGGACCCGTTTATCACTACTCTTAGTTTTTTTCCTGTTAGCCACTCTCCAATCCATGCTAATATATCACCGTTAATTCCATAGGCTTTAATCTTATGCAACAGCCTTTTATGTGGCACCTTGTTGAATGGCTTCTGGAAATCCAAATACACCACATCTACTGGTTCCCCCGAGTCCTGTACCTCAGTGGTTAGAGCACTCGCTTTGCAAGTGAGAGACCTGAGTTCAATTCCAGGTAGGGCGAAACCTTGGGCAAGTTTCCTTACTCCACGCCTAATAATAATCCCTCCAAAAAAAACAAAAACAATAATAAATTGGTCATTTCCCCATTTTTTCTCTCCCATCCTTCTTAAATATCAGCGTCACGTTTGCAACCTTCCAATCACTGGCAACCATTCCAGAATCCAGGGAATTTTGGAAGATCAAAAACAAAGCATCCACTATCTCTGCAACCACCTCTTTCAAAACCCTAGGATGCAGGCCATCAGGTCCAGAGAATTTATCGGTTTTTAATCCTATCAATTTCTAGTATCCTATCAAATTCTCTAGTAATAATTATGCTGATTATACAGGGGTCTAATAGGTTATATTTGGCACAGGATTTGTTGCATAATTGTGTTTGCCTGTTTATTATTGAGGTTTTGATGACTTTTCACAATTTTAAATTAGCCCATTTCGCGAATCTCATAGATAAAAGGCTTCTGGCAATAACAAGACAGAAGTTCAAATGAGGGATTACAAATTACGTTTAACATAACAAATCTGAAAAATTAGACCACGTAAATATAGTCATTTTTACAGTAAATCCTGTGAAGCTCTTCCTTCAACATGAAAGGTACAATATCAAATGTAAGGATTATAATTGTGTGGGTTTAAACTGCGCAGAGCCACATCTCTTTGGCTTCTTCTCCATCTTATTCAAAGTTTAACACTACTCATCTGTAAATATGTGTCCAGAGACTGGCGCCTCATTATGCAGACCTTAAGCTATCGCATTATTACGTGTCAGCATTATTGGATATGAAGCTGGCAGTGCAACTGTCTTCCTTGGTTACATTGATCTTAGCATTGCTAATTATCAGCTAAATTTGGAGCATTAGTTTACATAGGACAGTATTTATTGGACAACTAAATACGCACATATAAAAGAGGCAAAATGTTAAGATGAAATAAAAAGATGACTTTACTAAGTTTCCTTTTCTCTTCGAATTCTGAAGACCCATTTTGAAAAATCAGTCATAAAGAATTTTATTATATTTAACATTCTGTATTTTTATCTCATTTTTTTAAAAAACTATTTTGCTTGTACGTTGTGTATCGATAGTATCATTGGAATGAAAGGCAGCAAATTTACCACACAGTAACTGGATATTGGATGTTATCACTTATATATCCCACACACTGTACACTGTACTATTAAAGCTAACTACAATAAATGCTGCTTCTTCACCAGACATTAATTGAGTCAAACATTAACAAACTGATCTGACTAAGTGAACCACTGCTTTTATATTTGGGTTAGGAGGAATTGTGAATCTATGTTATCTGAATATTTTTACCTCCTTTACTTTTCCCTTTCTCCCACAATCTATTCTATTTTCACCCTTAGAATGCGGCAGATGAGTTCACGGGTCAGGGTGTTGACAGATCTTGAGACTCCTGACAAAGTACATTGATATTACTTCCATTTCATCTTTTGAATATAAAATTACTGTCAGATTGGCCTGCACTCTGTAAATCTTCCATCTTCAAATTTTCTTTAGGTGCAAAACCAGTTTGTAAAACCTTTCTTCAATATGGACTAAGAAAGGTATGAACCCAGTGCACACAATGCCAAATAAAGTATCGGTTATATGAAACCTTTTCTATTATTTTCTAGTGCTAAACAAATAAAAAGTGAATCACATTTCAGAATGATCATCGTTTGGTCATTCCCTGTAATGACCCTGAACAAACATCACTGATATATTGCTCAGAATCATAGAAATGACATCAAGAGGAGACCATTTCTAAATGGGGTTTCTAAATCCTGCACACTGGAACACTGAGTGCAGTAATTTAGTACAGATTAAAAATAAACACGAACAAGTGCATTTTAAATTGAGAGTCCTGTCTGAGAGGATGCTCCTCTTTTGCCTTTTATAACAACAACTTGCATTCATGTAGCATCTT